AAAAAAAAAAAAAAAAAACACAACAACAAGCACGATGCAAATGTACACACATGAAAGACTACAATGATATTCCTAAAAATTGTTAAAGTAAGTTGAGGGCATAATGTGAGGGGCTTAAAGAATACCCACAGCTCCCACTTGCTTTAAATGAAGAAATGGATACTCAGTACTTCTGCTAATCAAGCCTTCAAATAATAACTTTTTACAAGAGATCTAGACACAGAAAATAAAAAGGGCATAATACTTACAATGTAACCTGCATAATCTTCATTTTCAACAAAGGAATCATGAAGCCAGATGAACTCTTCATGTTGTCGAACAACAGAAAATTCATTTTGTTTGAAATTTGGTAAAGAACTCTGCAAAGGAAGGGGGACGGGTTATTTATTTTAAGAGTGAAAGAATATTACATTACAAAAAATAGCTTTCATATAGAAGTACAGTAAAATTTCCTTCAACAGTGAAAAACAAATCATTACTCTGGATGCAGTTTCTCCCCCAAACATTTTTGAAAATAAAATATGAGTTTGATTTTACTATATTAACATGTACTCAAATAAGCCAAAGCACACTATGAAAACAAACAAAAATATGTGAGGTCTTGGGAAACTGCTTTGGAAATTAAAAATCTAAGACTGAATACAGCTCTATACTGAAGAACACCACAAAAGACAGAAACAACTAACAAAGAAATAGAATGTACACCACAGTGAAAAATACAGGCGTCTGTGGAAAGGCTCAAATTGCAAACATGCCAATAATCCATTAATATAAATGTGGGACTCTCAAGACAGAATACTGTAATGCATAGAAAATGGAGTCAGTTTTTTAAAACTAAAACTTACCCTTCGAAAGCAATTTTTTTTGCATACACTTTGAATCTTGTTTCATAGTTTCTAGGGTCGGAAGGGACCTGAGCAGATCATCAAGTCCGACCCCCTGCCATGGCAGGAAAAAGTACTGGGGTCAAACAACCCCAGCAAGGTGAATGTCAAGCCTCCTCTTAAAGACCCCCAGGGTAAGAGCCAGCACCACTTTGCTTGGAAGTTGGTTCCAGATCCTAGCCACCCTAACCGTGAAGTAGCGCCTCCTGATGTCTAATGTGAATTTACCCTCTGCCAGCTTCTGACCGTTATTTCTTGTCACTCCTGGTAGTGCTCGGGGGAACAGGGACTCCCCCCAGTCCCTGCTGGTCCCCTCTGACTAGTTTGTAACAGGCCACTAGATCCCCCCCCTCAGCCTTCTCTTGTGGAGGCTGAACAGGTTCAGGTCCCATAGCCTCTCCTCGTAGGGCCTGCTGACTTAAATACATCCAGTCCTTTCAAGTGCCTCTTCACCAAGTCAGCACAAACAGTTGGTGGGCTAGCATCCCTTTTATGCCTGTCTAGGATCCAACCAGGAGATCTGTCCTGATCCATGTTCAGGAATACAGAAGCAAAAAGCTCACTGAAGAGCTCCACCTTGCACCACCCCCCCACCATCTATCACTATTTGCCCTAGTTTGTCCTGTAGGGTTCCTATGCTACCCTGCACCTTCTTTTTACCCGCTATAGACTTGAAGAAAGACTTTTTAGTTGTCTTCAATTTTTGTTGCCAGCCTAAGTTCCATTTCTGCTTGGGCCTTTGTAACTGCCTCCCTGCTGATTACTGTAGGCCTAATAGTGCCCCTTCGATAACAAATTGTTACTTCATTTCCTAATTGTTTGGGGGATTTTTTTTTTTTCCACATTTACTTTATACAGGCAGCTATGCTTTTTTTTATTATTACCAGAAGAGGAAAATTTCATTTAGGGTGCAATGTTGCATTTTACCTTGGTATGGACAGTGAACTTCACTTTGTCCCTCTCACTAAGAGCATCTGAAATATCCACTTGCAGGGCAGCATCTGTCTGAAGATCTACATTTATTGCTCTAAGCTAAACAAAGAAAATCAATTTAGCCTTAACAAAAAATAAAAATAGCACTTCATTTTTTATTTCCCAATCAACAAGAGCTGAGATAACTACTGTGACAAATAATTTTAGAATGCAATAGATTGACAGAACAAACCAGCATTAGAAAATACTCCCTGTGGGAAAACAAATCCCAATATACATTTCTTGTAGAGCACAAAAGCACATCTCTTTCATTTACTATACTTCCTTGCTTGTGTACAACTACTAGCATTTGCCTATTTATTGCATATTATTTCTCAACCTGTCAGCAGTTAAGAGCAAAATCCACTGCAGATTTTAAAAAGAGGTAACAACAACAAATTCTAAACCAACTCAAGATTTTTTTTCACACACACACACACACACAGAGCCTTAAAGAACATGTGATAAAATTAAACAATTTTAAAGGTGCCAGGGCAGGGGGGGATTTAGATTTTTGTCTTTTTGCTTGTTTATGATACACAAATTTATCCACACCATTTAGAAATTCCTTTTGTAATTTGTCAAAACTACCTATCAAACACACCAGACCTTTAATTATGGGCTAAGAAACTGAAGAGAAAGTATTTAAGTCAGGGGCAGGCAAAATACGGCCCACAGGCCAGATCCAGCATGCCAGGCACTTTCATCCAGCCTGCTGTGATGTGCAGCGCTAGCTGGAGCCACACAACACTGGGCACCAGCACCTGTGCCAGCCACAACTGCCCCAAATGTCCCTGCCTGCTGCTGTGCCATAGGGGGTGTGTGGGGAGTCTCCACATACCCACACCCCACTCTACAACTCCCCACATATACACAAACCCCCAATATACCCTATGCCCCACACACATATGGCCATGCCCCCTCAAACCCCCCACCCTACTACACACAAACTATGCAAGACTAAGAATTTATGTTTGAGTTATTATCCAATCACCTCTATATACAGTATGCAAACAAAATCACAAGAAAAATATTCTAATATTATAAAAGCCCAAGTCTGTCCATCTGTAACACTTTATTCACACGCTGATTGGCGGACAGAAACAGCCAGTCAGAGTGCTCCAAATATGAGGGGAGTGCCACCATGATTCTAAAGCCACGCCATGGACCGGACAGAGGGTGGGGGAGCTGCTGGCCTCTGCTGGTGCCCCCCAAGACTTGGGAGGCACCAGTTGCCCAGCCCGCTCCCTGCGGGAGGCAGAACAACAGCAGCATGGGGTGTTAGGTGGCAGCACTCCATCCCAGTCCCCTCCCCCACCCCCATCACTCTTGACGGGCAATTGGCTAGTTTTTGTAATAAAATTAAAGTATGTTATAGTAGGTATCAGAGGTGGGACTTCCAGTCACAAGATGGTGACCTGGGGAAGGGCAACTGTCAAGGGGTGGAGCTACCCACATGGCCTCAAAGGCTCACCAAACCTTTTTAAGTGGCCCTCCACCCAAAATAACTGCCTGCCTCTGATCCAAGTCCTCCCCCAACAAAGTAAGGCCAGATTTTACATTTATAATCCTGGTAAAGTGAAGTAAGATGAGAGCTTTTAAAAGCACAACGTTTCAGATTTTCTTAATGCAGAAGCATAAAAAATGAACATAAATGCCAATCTTTCTTTTCTTGTCTTCTGCAGATTATGCATAAAGTAGTTCCAATTGGGGCTCCAAACCAGTGCATCAAGAAACAACTTAATTCAATTTTTAAATTAAGATTTTCAATTATTTTAATGTCTTCACAGATCTAGCCTAAATATTTGGGTATGGCAGACTGGGGACCAGATGCTCCACCTGCACTGGAAGAACTCCTACCCCCCTGTGAGCAGGTTGGGGACTTCAAGCTTACAAAACTCCCTCCACCACAGAAGCCTCTTAGCAGGCATAAAAATAACGTCAGGCTCTGAAGACCAGAATGGGAAGAGAGTGCCTGCCACTTCTGCCCTTGCATTGTGTAGTCTGCCTGTGAACCTTCTGAACAGAAGTTCTTCCATAAGTTACTGCAGTTTCTAAACTGACAAAAAGAAAAGAAAACACAATTAAGGAAAAAAGGATCCAAAGACATGGCAGCTCTCCCCACTCTTACTTCAAGATATTCCAACTAGCATCTTGGCATCCTCATGAAAAATTTCAGCTTTCCCAACAACAGTCCCTTTTACTGGCATGAAGTTGGAAGGCCATTCCCGCCAAGGAAAAAGTAGGATAGTATTTCTGAGACTATCCATCTGTCAAGAGGAGTGGACAATCTATTTTAAGGATGGGGGGGGTCAGTTTCTTGTGCTGTTCTTCATTATTGCTGGGAACAAATAGGCATCCAAGCATTTTTTTAAAAGTACTTGGGTGTACTTAAAACCTTTTAATTTATTGTTCTCTAATTACACCACCAATTATTATTTTATTTACAGGTATATCCAAGCCTCCTTTTTGGATGTAACGGTCATATTTTCTTTGCTCTTGTAGGGTCTCCTGAAGGCAGTTTATCCTTAATAGTTCAACTGACTGGCATTTTTATACTGGATTTTGAAGTCCAAAATGCCTCCAAAAATATTCTCTGTTGTGACACTATGCATTTCATAACACATGCATTTTCTGACAGTAATCTCTTTACCACTGTTAATCATTTTGTTTCAGAGAACAATGGGTAAAAATTCTATGTTTTTAAGCTGCCTTTCAAAGAGCAAAAATTAAGAAAGTAAACCTATATTAACATGTCTTGCTTTCGTTCACCATTTCCCCCCATACACAACTAAAAACAGTGCAGCAATTTTATTTTAAGTTTCAAAACAATGGCAGCTAAAATGTTTCATTACATTACATGCTTTGTACAATGCCAAAGTATCAGTAAGCCATTTTTCACCAGATAGATTTATCAACAACTTCAACCATAGACTTTTTTTGAACAAGCTTTGATATTTTAAAGACAAAGTGAAGAGGCCTCAAAAGTAACATGTTAAAACAATCTGCAATGGACAGCATGCCTTACAAAATGTACTTGCTGCATAAATCTTGGGGAGGTTAATAATATGTTAAATTATGCTATGTAGCCTGCCTGGCAACAGGGACCATTTTCATTTGCAATGGAAATGAGGCATTGTGTAGAAGGTATCAAAGACAGAAGAGAAAGTTAAAGGACTTTTGAGAATCATGCAGAAATTCACTGTATTACTTGGTACTGGTTCACAAACAATGCTGTCATCCTGAAGTTAGGCAACTTCTTCAATACTTCAGAGGAAAAATACCTCAAAAGATGGCTTCCCAATAATAAGGGCCAGGAGAAGGAAGAACCCAGGATACCGTGCAGACTTCCAAAGTCTAGTTTAAATGACAGTGTGAGTCAACCGGCTGTCAAAGCCCGAAATGTCTGGTTTGGGGTTTTATGGTAGGGGGAGGGGCAGAGATGGAAAGAAAGACTGCATGCAATTATACCAAGCTGCACACATCAACTGCTTGCAGACATTTAAAAAAAAAAAAAAAAAAAAGCGTTTTACTAGAAGCAGCAGCATGTTAGCTCAGCCTGGCTCTGCAGTGTCTGTATAGATTGGGAGCTTCAGCAGGGCTTTTTGGTGCTTTTATCTAAGGCTGAATCAATCAGCTATTCAATAAAAGCACCAAAAAGCCCCGCTCAGGTACCCAATCTATACAGTTGTCAGGCAAGTCAGGTCCAACTAATGCACTGCCTCTTCTGGGCAGTACATTAGTTGTGCTGGGCTCAGCGTGGGAGCACAATGAGTTTACAGTAAAGTGCCATTTTGGGGTTGCTGGTTTTTTGTTGTTTTTGTTTTTTGTTTTTTTTTTAACATCTGCAAATAGCCATCAATTCTACACTTCAGATTAATGCAGCATACCCATGCACAGCTCCCCATAGAGCAATATATGCCGTTAGAGAAATCACAATATAAATACCAACTGATAAACTATGCCAAAAAAAAGTAATCTTTGAAGCAACCCAAATATGATGTGGAAACAAAAAAGTAAGATTAACTGTTGTTGAGGTATGTTAGAGAGATGGAACTGGACCTGAAAACTGCCTGAAGTACAGTATCATCTTGCACAATACTGAAGGAACTTGGCACAGCAGAGACCAATACCAATGCCTACCAGATGCTCAGCTCCTTCCAAAAATTCAAGATGAACCCTTCTCCAAGAAGCACTCAAAGCTTAGTGAGAGGAGCAGAAAGAGAAAAGGGAAACAAATAGGCAATGACATTCGTCAGGGAAAGGTCATTAGATGTCATAATCTTATAAACCCTATGGGAAGACTTTTGCTCATGATTTAAGTGAAACAAGTACAAGCAACCCCACTTAATACTGTTTTGCTTAGCGCTATTTAGCTATAAGGCTCGTTTTTAAATTGATACCTGATTTCACTTAGCGCTCAGCGAGTTTCAATATAACACTCGCCGTTGCCATCTTGGGTCATTAAAAACAATTGTGGTCGCCATCTTGGGTTGTCAAATACTTTCGGTTTCACTTAACACTCAGTTCTTCAGGAACCAATTAAGAGCGCTAAGCGGGGTTGTCTGTACTAGATTAGCTTCTTTTAAACTGCAATTAGTAACATTTAAAAAGAAACAGTCAGCAAAAAACCATACTAGACTTGTCTTGCACACATTTCTGTATACATAAAAATGTCCAAAAATGCCATTAAAACAAGTAGAAATTCTACTACTCAAAGTATGTTTAACAAGTACAGCAATTTTGTGCTGCTACAATTTAGGAAGTGGTTTTTGCAAATGCCTATTTATGCAGAACAATTTATAATGAAATCCAGTCATGGACCACAACCTTAACTCCCCAAATTTCATTCTTAAATGATCCATATAACAAGCCATCAGAAAAGTTTCTAGGTGGTGATATTTAACAGTTTGAGAATCATGCTCTATGGCAGGGATTGGCAACCCATGGCACAGGTGCCAGAGCATGGCACACGAGGCCATTTTCCTCAGCACATCGCGGCTGGCTCAGACTCTGGGCAGCTGTCACCAGCCACGGAGCCCGATGGCCAGGAGGCTACAAGCTCTGCTGCAAGCAGCCCAGGCTCTGTGGCAGGCAGAAGCTGCCCAAAGCCTGGGCTGGCTACAGCTGGGAGGCTGCAAACAGTTGCATGGGGCTCCACAGCCCTGGCATCAGCTCCGTGGGTGCAGCAGCTATGCACGTGCCTCCAGGCGCATGGTCAGGAAGGGACCTGGGGCAGCATAACCCTGGCCCCTCCCCTGCCATCCATCTTGAGGTGTACGTGCCGCCACTGCCACCACAGAGCCAGTGTCACGGAGTCCCATGCAGCTGTTTGCAGCCTGCCCGTCGCCTGCTGCAGCTGCCCAGAGTCCATGCCAGCTGTGGAAGGCAGCTGGAAGGCTACAAACAGCCGTGCCAGGCTCCAGAGCCCTTGGCCAAGTTCCATGCCACCAGCAGCAACATGCGCACCTTGGAGTGGATGGCAGGGGAGGGGCCAAGGTTGCACTGTCCCGGGCCCATTCCCAGCTGTGCATCCAGAGGTGCACACACAGCAGCCACTACCACGGAGCCAGTGCCAAGGCTGCAGAGCCCAGCACAGCCATTTGCAGACTTGGGGCTGCCTGTTACTGCTGACCCAAGCCTTGGGAAGTTGCAGCAGGAAGGGAGGCAAGTTGCAAACAGCTGCACCAGGCTCCAGATTCCTGGCACGGGCTCTGTGACAGCAGTGGGTGCAAGCACGCCTCACAGCCCACAGCAGGGAAGAGGCCGGAGTGGCACAACCCCAGCTCCTCTCCTGCCATCTGCCCTGAGGTGCGCATACAGCCACTGCCAGCAATGAGTATCGGGCCCCTTGTGGCTCCCCTGTCTCTGGCACGCTAAGTTGAAGCATGGGTGGAGGCTGGGGTGTTTTCAGTGCTCTGGCCAAAAACACTGCCAGCCCCTGGTCTATGGTATCAATGGACACCTCTTTTTTTCTTCCCCATCTGATCCTATCCCCTCAGTGGCTAAATACAACATATTTATAGCTCACAGAGAATGTAATTTTGGTGTGAACAAGAAATCACCCTCATCTAGAGCAGAAAGGAAATCTACCCACTTCAGAAGTCAATTAGCCAAATCAAAGGTCATTACATTGCCTTGTGCTAAGGAGACTGGTTTAACCTCTTCATTTTTACCACAAGTACAGGAAGAAGATAGCCAAAAAATATACTCAGCCCAGAACTAGGGAAATATCTATTTATGAAAACACTGGAGAGGGCAGTAGGACTCTCCTGCTACCAAGAAAAGCCAATACTGTTCTAAAGACAAAATCATAATTGGAGTCATTTATAACAGCTTCCCTCTTCTACTTTCTGAGTGTGCTTACCTTATTGGTCACTACCAAAAACCTGTAGAGCCCAGGCCTGTCAGTTAATCATGGAAATTTACAATAATAGGACAAAGAAAAACATCACTAGAAACAGGAACAGCAGGTGAAACATGAGAGGAAGTGGAGAGATTGTGTTATTAGCACTGGATATTGGAGGAAGTGAAAGAGATTGCTCTTGGCCAGCTAATTTGCTCAGTAGCACAAGCAGTACCATTGATTAAGATTTTTTTATTACCAAAGGTATTCGTACCTTTAGTAGCAAGGAAACATAAGGTTTTTCTATAAAAGGACAGAGTACTGATATATAAAGACAAGAATTTTCTTGCAGTGGTGACCAATATTGAATACTTCACAAAAAAAACAA